AGTCAACATAAATGCATAAAGCAAGAGCCTGATCATCTGGTGGTGGGACGTTTCCTCTGGGCGCAGCTGCTTTCTTCAGCGGGCAGGGGAACAGATGAGGGGTGTCAGAACTTTAAACAGACCCCATTGATCTTCTCAATAAAACGTGGCTCTGCAAACTGCAAGACCCCAAAGCCATGTCAAAGAAAAGCGAGGAGATTTTGACATCCTGGTAATAATAGGGTCTGAAATCTTTTGTTGCCAAGAGTGAGTCAGTGCTACACAAATATTTAGCTTGATTCGGCTCGTGTTCGCATGCATATTCTGCTTCTATATGACAGATTCAGCCACCGTGAGGGTTTGGCTCTGAAAGGAGAAATACAAAAATACCACACTGAATCTGAGCGTGTAAAATAAATGCAGACCGTTGGCTCGCCTGATTTAAGAGCTCTCAGATTCGACAGGCTAAAGGTTAAAACAATGAATGTTAAGAGCTGCTTTACTCCTTTTTGCAGCTACGGGGTGAAAGGTTAAATCCACTGCAACGTGTCAGAGTTTGCTACGTGAACTCTGAGAGATAATTCTCCCAGCCAGCTTCCAAACTCCAGGCGCCCTCTGAGCAAAAGCAATTATATCTGCAGTCAGTGTGCCAGTAAAGCGCAGGCCGCTTCCCGGTGATATTTGCTGGGCTCCGTTCAGGGGAATTCTGCTCCGGTACACTCAGTGTTTTGCTTGTGGTAAGGATTTATTGTGCAATTTGGTTTATTACCGCTGTGGTCTTCGGCTAAGTAGCTCGCTCACAATTACATTCCAAGCAGCACTACACCTGGCCTCTCCAAACAATAACAAATCCACGAGGGAGGAAACCCAAAATTAATGAAAGGTTATCGCCATCATGCCCGGTTTAGTGCTCACTGCTGAGACGAGCGGGTTATTTATAGCCCTGCGAAAATAAACACGAAAATATCGCCGTAATGCCAGACAGACTTTGTCATTCTGGAATCGCCAAATTAAGAAAAACACAAGGAGATCGGCCACTTTGAGGAATTTACAAGGTGCTGAAAGGCAGATATGCATGGAGACATTCTTCAAAGCTCGACAGCTGGCTATCTGAAATCTCGTGCAATGCTTTCTTGAGTTCATTACACTGAAAATATGCTGTATATTACATGCAATACTACTGTATGTATGTCATGTTGTTATATATCATATCAGTTATTTTATAGCCTTTTATAGATCTGATTGGAAACACGTGTGTCTATAAATCTGCCTGGAGCCGGTGTCAGAAAATAAAGATGGCTTTGGAAATCAATATTTACCTTCTTTTCAGAAGTACCAGAGACACCAGTCGAACCCTCACCTGTTATGGCAATATTTGGAGTGCCGTAATATGATTTTAGTGCTAAAAAGTTTAATAGCATTTGCCAGCCTTATAGCAAGCAGAATTGTACTAATCAAATGGGAAATATTGTATTAGAGACCTCATGCATCATCCAACAAGGGGAAAAAGGCACTTTTCAGTAAAAGATAAGAGCCATTATGTTGATTGGCAGCCAGTCTTGACTTGTATAATAAATTAGTTAATCAGGTCTTAATAACTTTTGTTATTACCATTTGATAATACTCATTATATACTTCCACAATATGCATTACTATTATTATTGCATTAATTTATAATTGATATACATATATAAATAGACAGGTGAGCCAACTGAATATAATGCATCATATTTTTCTCCATATTTTGTATTATTTTTGAATTATTTATTCATGTATAATATAATAATTGTGAAAGATTTATTATTTTATACCTATATAAATAGACATACAGACAAATAAACATGAGCAAAATATATATAATGGACCATGTTTGTGTTCATATTATTGTATTATAATTTATTATTATGTATTTATTTTATAATATAATATGTATAAAACATTTTTTATTTATACAGATAGATGAGCCAAATGTATATAATGTACTCTCTTTTTATTCATATTTTTGCATTGTAATATTTGTATGAATTATATATGTATAAGATATTCATTTATTTAGACAGGTAAACATAATTATTATTATTATTTACTTTATTGTATAATATAATATTTATAAAAATGTATAGATATACAGTGGGTACGGAAAGTATTCAGACCCCCTTAAATTTTTCACTCTTTGTTATATTGCAGCCATTTGGACCGTTGGCTCGCCTGATTTAAGAGCTCTCAGATTCGACAGGCTAAAGGTTAAAACAATGAATGTTAAGAGCTGCTTTACTCCTTTTTGCAGCTACGGGGTGAAAGGTTAAATCCACTGCAACGTGTCAGAGTTTGCTACGTGAACTCTGAGAGATAATTCTCCCAGCCAGCTTCCAAACTCCAGGCGCCCTCTGAGCAAAAGCAATTATATCTGCAGTCAGTGTGCCAGTAAAGCGCAGGCCGCTTCCCGGTGATATTTGCTGGGCTCCGTTCAGGGGAATTCTGCTCCGGTACACTCAGTGTTTTGCTTGTGGTAACGGCATGACAAGGTGTAAGCCGGGGAGGAACGCTGTTTATCCCACCAGTGAAAGCAACTGGCTTTGTAAGCGCAGTTATTTACTTAACTCAGTTCAATTCTCATATCACATTGCAGCGGTCATCCGTTTCAGAAGGCTGGAAAAGCCGAGGAAGCATTTGAAGTAGGTGGTGTTCCCGTTTGGGCCGTCTCTGATGATGCTATTTATACTTAATTACAGATTGCTGTAAAACCCTTTTCCAGATGCAAATGTCTCAAGCCGAACATGTGCACAAGGGTGTCATGATAGATACCTTAAACTCTTATCAGCACATACACTTGAACCCAAATGACCTTTGATCATTATTACTGGCATTAATACATGCAGCCATAAGCTATTATGATCAACTATACACTTAATATTGAAATTAAGAGTGTGAAATCTAAATACATTCACTTTGTTTAAAAAAGGTCACTTTAATGGTCTTATTGTGCCCTTTATTTCTTTAAAAGAACATACAAAATGTTATTCTAGAGAAAAATTGTTTTCATAAATTAAGCAAAATAAAAATCAAATAAAACTTTTCCATCTCCTAAACAACTTTTTTGCTGACATAACCAAGGTCATGCAGCAGGGAATATTACAATTAGAAAGTAATATTAAAGGGTGCTTTAATAGTCTTATTGTGCAAATTTTTTCCCTTTAAAATAACACACACTTCATTCAAAAATAAAAATACAATTCATAAATTCATCAAAATTATAAAAAAACAAATACAAAATGTAAATAAAATAACAAAAATAAAATAAAACTTTTTCTGTCTCTTTAACAACTTTTTTGCTAACTTAAAGGGTTAGTTCACCCAAAAATGAAAATTCTGTCATTAATTACTCACCCTCGTGTTGTTCCAAACCCGTAAGAACTTCGTTCATCTTCGGAACACAATTTAAGATATTTTTGATGAAATATGAGGGCTCTCTGACCCTCCCATAGACAGCAAGGTAACTACCACGATCAAGGTCCAGAAAAGTACCAAGATGATCGACAAAGTATTCCGTGTGACATCAGTGGTTCAACTGTAAAGTTACGAAGCTACGAGAATACTTTTTTGCGCAAAGAAAACAAAAATAATTACTTTATTCCACATTTTCGTCTCAACTGCGTCACTTGTGGACGCGTGTTCACGACAGTATCATGACGCGAGCGTGTGGCGGTATTTTTGTTTTCTTTGCGCAAAAAAGTATTCTCGTAGCTTTGTAACTTTACAGTTGAACCACTGATGTCACACGGACTACTTTGTCTATCATCTTGGTACTTTCCTGGACCTTGAACGTGTGACAGAATTTTCATTTTTGGGTGAACTAACCCTTTAACCAAGGCCATGCAACAGGAAAAAGTAATATTAGACAGTAATATTAAAGGTCACTTTAATGGTCTTTACATACACTACATTATTCTAAAAAAAAAAAAAAAAATGTAAATTCAAAATAAAATTAAATAAAGTAATTTCTGCTCCAGGCAGAAAAAATAATAAAAATCTCTCTGACATTGTGTAAGTACAGGTATTTTCATTGACTCACGAGGTTGATGAGCTGGGTGTGCACTATGTCCTCCACCAGGGCGGCGGTCTCGTGCAGTGGTCTGCGAGCATCACCAAGAGCAAACCTGAGAGACAAATACACAAGCTTTACAAAAAGCACTTAGTATGTTTAAGCTCCTGACCAACATGTTTCACAATCACCATGTTGAACCCACAACCCTTATTTCAGTTGAGATAAATAATCTAAAATGGATTCTCTATTAATGCCATAACTGTGAGCAAATGTTCATAAAATGGCAATTAACACACAGTTAAGCCCTCAGTTGGGTAATAAAAAGGCATCAGCCATTCATAGCAATAGCTGACATTCATTATAGATGGCTTGAGTTTCCAATGCTAGAGCTATTTACAAAATCTGAGGGCCTTTATTCACAGTTTTTCCCACACTGCATCTGCCAAAGCTTCCCACATCGCAGTGTGCTTAATATCGACACAGCGGTTTCATCCAATAGTAGCACAAACCACCGGACGGCCACAGACTCTCGCTTTTAAAAGAGGAGAAGATGGGAACTTCCATGAGAAGCTCAACACTTTCGACGGAAGAGGCTTCATCAAGCAACACGTCTGGCTATAAACTCCATTTCACAAAGAACCATGACAAATGATTTACACTTACTTCATTAGGGAAAAAAAATAAGCCATTTTCTTCATGAAGTGACAATTCTGGTCAAAAACCACACAAGTTATGTCTAACTTAGTTTTCATTTTTGAGAAGAGTTTCTATCATTGGCTTTTATATGTTTGGCTTATTGATTCCTCTCTTCAAACTACACAAAGTTACTTACTATCCATTAAGTATGAGTATATTTAACCCTGGCAAAAATTAAAAAAGAAAGAAAATACTACAACTAGTGCCTAATTGCATTTTTATTTACTTCATATGGTTCAAAGACACGTAAAGCACTTATGGAATCACCTAGTGCTCAAACTCCGGCTCCGTGCATCTAGTTATTGAAGTCTCAACTGTGACCGTCTTCAATTAACTTTTATTGTGTTCCTGTTTTTTTCTATCCACTTCAATCCATTTGAATCCAAACACCTCCCAGAGGAAAAACCATAATTTCCTCCAGTGTTGTAATTTATTCCACTTGTTTAGTTACAAAGCATTTCAGCTCAGATAAAAAACAAATAAATACAATTATTAAAATGAAATTTGAATTCCAAATTTATTTAAAATGAAAATTAAATCAAATGAAATAGTTTAATTTATTCCACTTGTTTGGCATTTCAGCTCATACCAGGAGTAGCAAGATAACACAGAGCCTTTACAATAAAATTTTTATATAAATAAAAATGTATTCCACTTGTTTTGCATCTCTGCTCAGACTAGGACACTAGTATGACAACACAAAGCTTTAATAATAAAATAAAAAATAGATAAATTAAAATAAAATAAAATAAAATAAAAAAATAAAACAAAACAGAAAGCGTAGATGCTTCAGACTGAACTGCAATCAGTAGAGGACCATTTTTGCCATCCCAATGTCTTCTTTTCAATATGGGTATTTAACGAATACATTTGACACACTGATACACTTAATACGTTTCTAGCAATGACATTAGTGGATATGAAAATGCATTTTGACATTTGTTCAGATTGATACGAGACTCATGTTGGGGTCCTGAGCTTCCTGTCGGTTTACTTCACAATAATGAACCTGTACATTACTTATTAGACAATTTGGCTTATTTCCTAGCTTTTACAGTTTAATATCTGTTATAGAAATGCTAATATTACTCAATATCTCCAAAATAATGTCCACAATCATGCTGCTGGATTTGAATGAATCCTTCCTCTTCATTTGACTTTGACCAGCTAAAGCGACCTCGGCATCACGATTAGAATTGCATCCTTTCTCTTTCTAGCATCTAAGCGGGCAGCGGGCAGACAGCATCATCCGTTTGCAAAAATAAGCTGAATGTTTGTATAGAGATGTTGGGTTGTGAGCGCGCCTGCGGTGGTGCTCTTTCCATCTCGCCAGCTTCCCGTATTTGCTTAGAAACAGAGAGAGCAATGTGACTGATGTAAACACATTGATTTGACAGTCCTGATTCCAGAAATCAATCGGTGTTTAAATACAGTGCAGAGATCAGAGATGCTTACAGTAAACATCTCGTCCACAGGGACCCGGGGCCAGACGACCAACACCATACAGTACAGCAACAGAGACAGAGCGCCTAGCTAGAAGCAGTTTAAAGAAAAAATAATATTTAAAATGAACATGAACCAGTTTACATTTTCATTACACAATCCTGGTCTTAATTTAAACGATAACTCATATGCACGTTATTCTACAGGAAAAAAGTCTTCATAATCTTTCACCAAAGTGCATTAAGTCGCTCCTCCTCTGAAACGACATTCCTTTTTGCTTGAGGTCAGCTAGGACACAAGCTACTGATTCAGTTTTTTTTTTTTCGATAACTCATATGCACGTTATTCTACAGGAAAAAAGTCTTCATAATCTTTCACCAAAGTGCATTAAGTCGCTCCTCCTCTGAAACGACATTCCTTTTTGCTTGAGGGCAGCTAGGACACAAGCTACTGATTCAATTTTTTTTTTTTTTTTTACATTTCTTTAGGCTATATTTAAATCTATTAATTTAGTAACATTAATGCTGCTGTTGAAGGTAATAGAGTAATGGTTAACTAGATTTTATATTTGATATGTATTATTTTATTTATATTTTAGTAAATAAAATAATAATGAAATAACAATAAAATTGAAACATCACAAAATCCACAAAGTTATTGTTACATGGTTAACCAACGCAATTATGATTGTGAATTGATTCAGCAGACGGCTGGTGAAATCTAATTAGGGTTGCAACCAAAGTACAACGTGTTTTATATGAAAACATTTTGTGCTTTCTTTTGTTGCATGTACTCGGCCCTCGGGCCGCACACACTGACTTCACTAATGTGGGCAGGGTTTAAGGATAATATTTTCATTTCACAACGCTAGCGTATGTCTTGCTTAGGTAGATAAAAAGAGCGGCTTTATCCCCGTTCAATCAGCAACTACTGTTATCCGAACCAAAGCACTGAATCAAGTCAATGAGGCAGATAACGCAATTATGATTGTGAATTGATTCAGCAGACGGCTGGTGAAATCTAATTAGGGTTGCAACCAAAGTACAACGTGTTTTATATGAAAACATTTTGTGCTTTCTTTTGTTGCATGTACTCGGCCCTCGGGCCGCACACACTGACTTCACTAATGTGGGCAGGGTTTAAGGATAATATTTTCATTTCACAATGCTAGCGTATGTCTTGCTTAGGTTGATAAAAAGAGCGGCTTTATCCCCGTTCAATCAGCAACTACTGTTATCCGAACCAAAGCACTGAATCAAGTCAATGAGGCAGTTTTAAGCCCAAGATAAACTGCAGAACAGCAAATGCTGTTTATATTTCAGACGCTCGCGTGGGCCGAAGAGACAAGCGTAAGATCCACACAGGGAGAGGAAGGGAGAAACTGAGGATGGAGGAAGTTTCTAGACTGTATCGTGCCATCCTTAAACACCGTCACACAGTCTGACCGCCTCACCTGGGATCTGACATCACAACACTGAGAGAAAACATCGTATCCTGGAAACAACTACAGAACCAAAAATAATAAACCTTTATAGATGTCCAGACCATTGACTCAAGCTAACCAAAGTCTTATGCCTCAGAACACTTAAAAAAAACAACTTAATAAATAAAATAATACCTCTTAATAAATAAATAAATATGTAATTATTAAAATATAATTCTAAAATTCTAATTATTATATAATTTAAAAAACATTAAAATAACCAAAGTCTTATTCTTCAGAACACTTAAAAAATGAGTACACATTTAATAAACAGTTCATAAATAATATAATAATTTAA